AAGGCGGACGCGGAACGGGGTACCCAGAACAGGCGGAGCAACAGGCGGAAAGAGCGCGGAGCAAACGGCGGGCGGCCAGCGGATACCACCGGGGACACCGGGACAGGTGGCACTGGTGGCACCGGTACTGGTGGTACTGGAGTCACCGGTACCGGTTGTACTGGTGTCACTGGTACTGGTGGTACTGGTGTCACTGGTAGTGGTGGGACCGGTGACACCGGTGGTGCTGGTGCCAGTGGTACTGGTGTCACTGGTGGTACTGGTGCTGTTGGTACTGGTGGCACTGGTGTCACTGGGACCGGTGGTACCGGTGGTTCTGGTGCTGGTGGTACCGGTGTCACTGGTGGTACTGGAATCACTGGTACCGGTTGCACTGGTGTTACTGGTACTGATGGCTCTGGTACCGGTGGTACCGGTGGTACCGGTGGTACTGGTGGTACTGGTACCAGTGGTACTGGTGGTACCGGTAGCACTGCAGTCACTGGTACTGGTGGTACTGGTGGTACTGGAGTCACCGGTACTGGTGGTACTGGTGGTACCAGTGTCAGTGGTACCGGTAGCCCTCATACTGGTGGTACTGGTGTTACTGGTGTTACTGGTGTTACTGGTTCCACCGGTAGCAGAGGCGTCACTGGTGGTCCTGCTGTCACTGGTACCGGTTGTACTGGTGGTACTGGTACCGGTTGTACTGGTGGTACTGGTTGTACCGGTGTCACTGGTACCGGTTGTACTGGTGGTACTGGTACTGGTTGTACTGGTGGTACTGGTTGTACTGGTGGTACTGGTACCGGTGTCACTGGTACTGGTTATACTGGCAGTACCGGTTATACTGGTATCACTGGTACTGGTTGTACTGGTGTTACTGGTGTTACTGGTTTTACTGGTGGTACTGGTGTTACTGGTGGTACTGGTGTTACTGGTGTTACTGGTGGTACTGGTGGTACTGGTTTTACTGGTGGTACCGGTCCATTTTTCAGCCCCGGGGGTCGCGGTGACGTAATCGGTGACGTAATCGGTGACGTCATCATCGACGGTGATGTAATCGATGGGGGTTCCATCGCCTGCGCCCAGGGACACCAGTGAGACCAGTAAGGGCTCCCAGTGAAACCAGTAACGGCTCCCAGTGCTCCCAGTAACCCCCCAGTGAAACCAGTAACCCCCCAGTGAGACCAGTAACCCCGCAGTGAAACCAGTAAGGGCTCCCAGTGAAACCAGTAACGGCTCCCAGTGAGACCAGTAACCCCCCAGTGGTCCCAGTAACCCCAGTCCCTCCCAGTCCCCTCCCAGTCCCTCCCATTCCCCTCCCAGTCCCTCCCAGTCCATCCCAGTCCCTCCCAGTTCCCATTTAACCCTTCCCAGTCCATCCCAGTCCATCCCAGTCCATCCCAGTTTACCCAGGACGTTGACCCTGGCGATGGCCTCGGGGCTGCAGTTCCCCCAAACGTCC